ATAAAATGCCAAATAATCCTATGTAACTCATTAAATATCGAAATTAGAAGAGAAGTACACTATTTTTAATGATAGGAAATGCATTTTTCTAAGGTACATAAACTTTTGGTATTGACTATATAGCCAATACATCCTTAATTGAACGTTCACTTATTTTCCGTTTCGTTAAATTTAACAGTTATTCCTTAACTTGTAGATATAATGCGTTGATTTAAGTACGCGAATTCTCGTACATTTTTAAACGTACATTGAACATGAACCACACGTTATACGCCCGTTTCGTTGAACTGCGACGAATTTAAGTACGCTTATTTTTTCTCGTTTAAACGAAAAATAAAAACGAGAAATAAATTCACTCAGAGTGCCACTGAAAGTTGACTATCGCGAGAAACATTTTAAAGTTAGGCAAGAACAATTTTAGGGAAAGAGAAAGAAGGAGAAAGATGATGAATATGAAATGTGAATGGAACGTGAAGATTCTGTATGGTAATGCATAGAAGGAAATAAAATTAATGGTAATGGAATATAGTTTGTTTAAATGAAGACGGTAATATAAATAAACGAGACGCAGCAATTTTTTGATTCAACAAATCTGTTATTCATTATATGTATGTATCAAAAGGGTAGAAACATTATAGATAGTGCGAAGCGGAAAACATTCTTAATTCAATCGTTCCATTTAAGTAAAAGTCTTAACAAATCCACACGAGAAGACCTAACGAGGAAGTTGCATTGTTTTATTCTCGATTTTACGAACTATTTTGATTTTTCCATAATTTATGTATTTTCGTGACAAGAAATAAACGAACCACCGATTCGTGTACAAAAGTTTTTGCTTCTTGCTGCTCGCCCCCTTTCATAACTCTCGTTAAAACGACTTGAACAAAAAGTAAGCGTGTATATATTTACGATATGTTAATGTAGTAAAAATTCCCTTAAAATTTAAAAATCTCGGGAATACCTCGTTCTCTGTTAATCGGAATTGTAAGGTACAGTTGCAACAATCGTTCGAAATCGTAAGCGTAATTTATTATTATAATGTATCACTTGTGTTTGTAACAAAAATAGTTACCAACTTAAGTATGTACGTACGTCGTTTCGTAAAGCGTTTAAGTAAAGGGGATGTTAGATTAAATTAAAAAACTTTATTTGTTGTAAATCATTCGTGTTTGACTCGATTTAGCGCGATGTACGACTTCTTGGTAGATAGATCGTGCCAGCCCACCGGGCCCCTCTCACAGTCCGCACATGCTAGATATTTAACGTTATCTACTGTATGCGAAACACCAATATTTTCAAACGTGTACATATCTTCCACCAACCAGTAGTCTGTTAATAATTCCTGTTGATCGGCTTCACCCTCTCCCTTACGATGTATATACGGTAGATTAAACTAAAATATCATACATTACACATTTAAACTTGACTACGAAACATTTTCTAAAAGAGAGCTTATTTAAACGAAGAACACAAAGCAAACCAGCTGTTAGGTTAGATTCACAGTAATGCTAATTTATCCAAAACAACTTTTCAAATTTAACTTAAACAGTCACAATAAGAATAGCAAGTGATCACCTCGATATGCACTAATCGGGCCGCACCGGCGTTAAGCATTTTCGACGGGCAGAATGTGCAATAAACTTTGAGTTTATTCTTCTCATCCTGGTCTTTCAACGAACTGATATCTTTATTCGTTGACATATCCTTTTACTTGGAAAATTTGTCACTTGTATCGGTCACACGATTATACCGCAGTCAACGTATAAGGACGTATGTAAAAGAAACTTTGGAATACTTTATGTACTTAACATCGCGTTGTTTTTTTTCCTACCAACGAGTTGCAGCCGGCATAGGAAATAACGTGTTCCCTTACCATTTATGTATCACTTCCAATGTTACCGATCCAGTACGAAATATAATTTCACAGAAGAGATATGTATGAGCTGGGCATCTTAAATTAAATCCAATGAAAAGAACAAGGACGAGGGGTAATTACTCAATATCTGTGTCGAACATATTTAATGATCGTTAATTCGATTGATACATTTGATAAGTACATAAATAAATTATGATACGTTAAGTAAATAAATAACAATCTATACAATATACAATTTATAGTCACGTTCAAGTAACGATATAGTAAATTAGTCATTTAATTAAGGCACTTTCAAGAAGGCACGTGACATGCATTACGATGTGCACCCAGTCTTTAACATCCGTAAGAACATGCATAAAATCTTTATTATTACGAAGTGAAATCTAGTTCCTGAATGGCATAGTGAATGTCATCCGGGGAAACATTTAATAAAATCTTTTGATATATGTCATTCCTTGAATGTTCGCATATTAACAACCTATTAGCGCCTAATCTTCCGCAAACCGCTAATACCTCCGTTACACTAGGTATTTCGATGCCTAAAATATAAACAAAAAATTTATGATATTTTAAGAAAATAATGTAGTTGAGTATAAAAAAGAAAGAACAAACCGTCAAAAGAGCATATTGACTCGAGCTGTCTGAACACATCTATAAAATATGCTTCTTCGATCGAAGTTCGCGTGACTTCCGCGGACATCGCTTGCAAAAATATTTGTTCCATTTTCGAACAATGTTTAATGGCCTGAACTTTAGCAGATGCAATCATTTCTGACACGGCTTGCGTTACATTCTGAAGAGATATCATCTCAGCATTCTGCGATTCTGCGATTTCCATAGCGCGGCGACATATGTCCAAAGCCCGTCTAGCGTCTCCGGATACCGCAGAAACTTTCCTAAAACAAATTGTTTCTTCCTGTACAAACTTATTAAACGATAGTAATAGCAATGTCATTGAAACTATTGTAATACCGTGCAGCAAGCTGTACAGCTTCGGCTCTGAAACCTCGAAAATCCTTAAGCCTGGACATAACTATTTCCTGTAGCTGTTTGTAATTATATGGTTGAAACGTTAATCGCGTTAAACCTAAACGCGACGTAACGCGCCCCATTAAGACTCTCTCGGGCAAGTCCATAGTATTAGCAATTGTGATGACCACCAATTGTGCAGTCGATTTTGTTGGCCAATCTAATAAATTGTATACTACATCTTGTCGCTTGGTACATACGAAATCGAGCTATAACAGATAACATTAAAGTGTAATGATAATGGACAACAATGCAATGATTAAAGTGAAGGATTGAAAAAAATCGTACTTCATCTACGAGAAGTAACGTCATTTTAGAATTGGCTGTGTGAAATCGTTTATCGAGTATGCGATAAGCTTGTTCCCAAGTAGTGACTCTGCCATCCAGTTGTTTCAGTATCTGTACATAAGCTTGTCTCGGTTCGGTTAGTTTCATACCATTAATCGCTACGTAATCAAAATCGGCCAATTCGCCTTTCATTATTAATTTTTGCAAGCATCTAACAGCTTCATTCACGGTTGCAGTTTTTCCCGTGCCTGGCACTCCACTTATATACATACACCTACGCACATTATTAATTGATAAATATGATTATTCAATAAATAACAAATAATAATAAAAGCTAGTTCAATGTACCCTCCACTTTTGTCTTCCAATTTTCCTCTAAGAAACGTGAATATGTTATTAAATTCCTCTTCTCTACAAGGCAATGATTTTGGTACAGCACTGACGTGCAATCTGGACCTAGCTTCTTGTAATGGTGTAGCTGGTTTTAACAAAGTACTTTTTCTTTTACCCAATGATGGTGTTAATTGACTACACTTTACCGTACGAGATTTTGGAGTGCTCAGATGAATTTCTTCCAAATGTAATTCTATAGCTTTCTGTGAATCACTTCCTTTCTTTGGTGTCAAAATTCTTTTCTTGGGAGATGAAATTTTTATATTTCTACACATGTCAGCTAGAGATTCTCTTTCATCATCACTATTATTTGTATCATCAATTATCTGTCTATATTCAGTCTTTACTTTTCTTCTACTACTACTTCTCCCAGGAGTTGATGAGATTTTAATATCTTGACACGTATTAACTGAAGATTCTTTTTCCTCGTCGCTATTATTTTTATTATCGATCATCCGTCTATGTTCAGAGTTTTTCCTTGCACTTCTTTTGACAGGAGTAGAGCTATTGACTGCAGATGAAATTTTAATACGTTTATTCACATCAGCTGAAGATTCTTCCTCAGTATTATTATCATTATTATCTGGCTGTTGAACATCTTTCTGTGTGCTCTCAGAAATAATTCGTTTCTGTCTGATTGATTTAACAGGTGTCACAGCAGGGGTTGATATTACTGAATCTTCTTTTGTCACCTCTTGTACTTTCTTAGTTGTAATATTAATAGATGCAACAGTAGACATTGGTGGTAATGAATCTTTGTTTGTTATCTCTTCTACCTTCTTCATGAGATCTAACTTATCATTTCTAATAACGTCAACTTTATCAGTTTTCTTTAATGATTTTGCATTCCTTATTTTAGAATTTGTCTTATCATAAGTCTCTTTATCATTTTTAGAAGCAATATTTGTGTTCTTTTTTACAGTCGACTGTGCAGATTCTAAATTCTGTTTGTTACCAATTAAAACTTTGTTTTCTTTTTTCTTTGTCTGTTCATATTTTATGTTAGTTATAATAGCCTTCGCAAGTAATCTATCTTCATTGTAATTAACACTTGACCTAGTCCTCAAAGTTGGAGAATTAGGTGGTAAAGTCTCACATTGATAATAAGACAATTTTGAAGGTGGTCTTCTGTTTCTACTGTTTCTTGGTAGGTCATTCTTAATTGATTTTTCATCTACATTCTCGTTAATCTCGTCTTTCTTATTAATACTCTCAATGTTCACAGAATTATCTTTGCTATCTGTATAAGATCCTTCGCTTTCTACTTCTGAATGACTTTTCTTTCTCTGCCTTTCAAGTCGATTATGACGTTTACGTATAGGTTTCTCGTAATCAGAATCAGTATCAATTGAATATAAACTTAATTCTGCAGACTTCTTCAATTTAACTTTCAGGGAAATTCTTCCCGTTTGCAAATTCCTTTTTGGTAACGCATATTTATTAGCTTGAAAAATATTTTCCGCATCCGAAGAAGTATCTAAATTAACTTTCTTTGCATTCTTTATTTTCGTACTTGTCTTTGTTTGAGGTCTTTGTACAGTATTATGATCGTCTTGCTCTAGATCCGAATCTGCATCGAGTATGATTGTTATTTGATTATCTGTACAGTTGTTCAGCTTATAAGCCATTTCGATCGCTTTAATTTTCAATTTTTTTAACAATGAATACAACCCGCACAATCCACTATAAATAAATTTAAACCGCCAATTCTCTACCTCTACTTTTCGTAGACAGTGTAATTCATCAGAGTTGAGGCGACTAACTTTATTTCTAAAATTCGATGTCCTCTGGTATTAGTTTCAAGTACCAGCAGTAAGAACCGACCCAGCACCCAGCACTACCAGCGCCCAGTGCTAACCAGCGTTGGCGTTAGCATATCAGTTGATATCAGCAGTCTCCTCGGTCATGTGCATGTCATATGTCAGCAACATATATAAACATATTATTTGATTATTTTTATTTACCAATCTTACAGTTCTGATTTAATATTAATATTAAATTCGTAACATTCATCTTACTCTAGCATCATGGATCAGGATATACGTACTCTTTGGTGTGGAAATTTGAGTCAAAACGTAACGGAGGAAATTCTGTATGAATTGTTTTTGCAGGTTCGTAAATGTTTTTAGTCACTGCGCCATAACAATTGTGTGCAGTTTCCAAATACTTTTATCAAATGATTTAAGTTATATCAACAATTGTTGAAGAATTTTATTGTAAAGCTTCTTTTCAAAGGATTTCAAAAATATTTTGTGCAATTTTATAGGGTGGTCCTGTACAAAGTGTTACTATCCCTAAAGATCGTGATGGCAAGCAAAGAGCATATGCGTTTATAACATATAAACACGTCGATTCTGTACACTATGCTTTGGAACTATTTGATGGTACAGCCTTATTCAATCGTACTCTTAATATGAGGCGTAGGAAAAATGTAGATTTGCCACAGATTAGTTATCCACAGGATCATTCAATTCAGTTGAATCATTGGCTTCAGTTAGGCCAAGAAATGTTGTTAGGAAATGTATCTCATCTGCAAGGGATTTCATTAGGATATGCAAATGATTTGAACATGTTACCTAACATTAATACATCTGCATTAACAAGTCTGCATAATATGAAACAAACAGATAATTATTCTTACAAAGATGATAGAAGATCACGACGGGCACATCCGTATCACAGAGAACAAAGTAAAAGTAATAAGGAAAGCCATCATAGGGTCCATAATTCTAGGAATCATAATCGCAGATCGCCGCCCAGACGAGTTTATAGAAATAATAATCATAGTCATCGTTAATATATTCAGTAACTTAAAATTTTTTAACAAATATAAAATCTTTGTTTACAGTTGTCAAGTTAGATATAGTCATAATGATAGATTTGATTAGTATATTTGTGAACATACATTTTTAAAAGACTGTACAATATTTTGATTCTTTATTCCCTTATTTACATGTATCATATCGATTAAATATGTCCTGATAGGTACGTCGCGAGGAACATAATTTATCTTTCCCGGGAACTTCTATATTTTGATTTATTACATGTACAGCTTTTTCGGCAATCATTTTAACTGCAGCATTAATATTACCACTTGGTAAAGATGCAAATACGGATGCATCTATTATGTATAAATTTGTTGTACCGTAGACTCTGTAAAAACAATTATTTTTTTGTAAATGTGTGTCTGAGACAGAGATAGATTCCATTTTTGGGATTGGATGGTCCATTTCTGTTGTTAATACTTCATGTAAGAAATGTATAAGATTAGTACTTAAACGTTTGATCGACGACGTCACCCATCCGACATGTACCAGCGGGATGATAAGAAGTTAAAGTTAAATGTTGTACATAACATTCCCAATACTTTGTACTATCAAACATTTCATTTTCGCAGCCGGGAAAATGTTTCTCATAAATGGCAGCACCGATAGTTTTCATAGCATTCGTTTCAACAAGCTTCTTCACGAATCGAATGCCTGCAAAGTTTTAACATTTTTTGTTTGTAAAATATTATACTAT